ACCTACAGGAAGAGGGCAGAACTGCTTAGTGCAATGTTCAAAGCAGTCAAATTGAGGTCTGATGCCCTCCAAATTGAGGCTCCGTTCAACATCTCCACTGTCATTGCAAAGACAATGAGGAACATATCAAGTGTTTATTTCACCAAACACTGCTCTTCACAGCACTGCCACCTCAGTAAAGGGATGACAAGGGATGTGCCACTTGTTTCTCGCCATTTCTATCCTCAAAGATTCTGGTGTGGTTCATCTTGACACTGCTGTAGACACTGGACTAGTGTTGTCAAAAAAATCGATACCTAGATATAAATCGATACTAAAAGTGGTATCTAAATTAGATATTCCATCCCTGTGATATCGATATTATGGACTATTATACACAGCCTTCTTCAAGTACATCGACACGCACGACAGCCAGATGCCGTAAAGCAGCCTCCGCCTCCCAGACAAACAGAAGAAGAAGGCGCCTCATGGCTACATTGCAATTTCCCACGCGAGTAGTCTCCGATCCAAGTTTTGTCTGCCAAATAAATAAACAAAAACATAAACAGCAAATTTGGGAGGCGCTTCACAGCCCAACTTAATTAGCATACCAAGTCCGACATGTAGTTGTATATTCACGCTTATGTGCTTAAAGGAAACTCCCGTTTATTGCAACCCGGACTTAATTTCTAGCATGCAGTACGTTTGTTTACTCCCGCTGACAACTTTGGTGCTACTTGGATTCCCTGGGGTATTTAGATCCGTCGGCGAATCGCCATCAGCGTATATCCATATAACGGGTGCGGACGGGCACCCATGGTGCAGCCTCGAAATAAGACATTATCTGCACCAAAACATCTCAGTGTCGAAAGGTTTTGTTAGGAATAATTAACGTGATTCCCCTGTTCGTTTGGAGCGGGTCTGGGATTTCTAGGCGTAAACAGACTAGCTGCGGCTAATTAACCGGCGCTTTTAATGACGTCACTGCCGTGCGCCAATCTGTTTTTATTAAGATTACCGGTAGATGTACCTTTGTCCTACTGAGGAGAAATTCGTTTTCTCCCTTTATTGACCAACAGAGTTGTTCAAAAGTACAGAACAAAACATATGGCATTACATCTTATGACAAAAATGCACCTTAAACAGAGTTTAAGCAGCAAAACATCACTCTGCAAATAGTGAATATATAGTGAGACAATTCATGATTTAAAGTGTTAACTTTCGCCAGTTTTTGTATGCACGTTTAAAAAATGCTGATACTTAAAAGGTTTAAGCACTTAATACACTTAATTCTTAACATTCACCCTGTGTCTTATTGAATTTTTGGCTGTTACTTTTGGGAATTGTGTTGTATTTCCTTTTTATCTTTTATCTGTGTTCGACATGTTTATATAACGCCTGTTTAATTAACCAACATTTTTAGTGTACAGCGCCTTGTTTGGTTGTAATGCCTTGTGAATGCGCTCTATAAATAAAATTGGATTGGATTGGATTGGATTTAATTTTTGCTATATAAATTGAGGAATGTTTTTTTTAATAAACTTGTTCAATAAATTGGTGTTTTTAAATAGTATCGAAATCGAGTATCGAGTTTTTTTTTTTCAAGTATCGAATCGAGTTTGAACTTTCAGTATCGTGACAACCCTACACTGGACTCACCCTACCCGAGTCTCCCTTCCTCAGGCCAATCTCCAATCCACCTTTATGTCCATCAGAATTAAAAACAGAAGACAGCGCCTCAGGAAAAGAGCTCAGTGCAGGGACAGTTACTCACAGCTACAAGATTGGAGATATAGTATGGATTGATACTGACCTTGCAAACCAAACAGTTTTCCTTGAGTGAATTTCCAGCCAGTCTTGTTCTCCAAGGAAAGACATTCACTTTGAGGGCATTGATTCCTTTCCCAGGAAGTTTGACCAGTGGTGGTTTGGGGCACTACACTGTCTACTGCAGATAGTGTACTATTGTTCTATGATGACCTTGGAGACAGAGTGACCATGGCATCTAGAGAAGTTTGTTTGTTACATTCACATGTGTTCAATATGGCTAACTTGTGTTATCAGTATGTTTAGTTTTTCATATTATTTGTAGTGTTAATGAACTACATATCTAGGAATTGAAGGCTGTTGCTATCAGCTTATGTTTTCATTCCTAAGAAGATCAAAACAAATTAACAAATGAAATTTATATGCATTTATATATGGGTATATATATCTATAATGGATAGAAATTCATGCACCAACTTGCTTGGTCTATGTTTAATCAAAAGATTGTAATATTTAATTTTAAAGATTTAATTTAATATCAAACATTATTTGTCAATTCAGAAGATCTAAAGATCTTTGCATGTTAAGTGATCAATATACACCCACTCTGTGTTTATTTCAAGAAAGAGTCACGTTTAAAAAGTTTAAGAAATTTATTACTAAACAATTTAAAACATGACAATTTAGAAGATAATTTATAAAAGACTTTGGTATTAAAAAGCAACCCTGTGTTTGGATGAATCTAAGTGTGTTTTGTTTGCAGGTGAAGCAATGTCTCAGAACGTGTATCTTGGAGAGAGGACGTGTTCTGGGTGAAAAAGAATTTGGTTTGCGAATAAGCAAAGTTGTTCTTAATGAAAGAGCATTCAGACTCAATCTGTGTTCTACCTCACCGTCAGCCGACCCTCGTCATGGATCCGGAGGTCAGAGGAGGATGCCGAACAGCCTCAGGGTACTGGGTCCGGTGGGGAAGACCGATGGTACCGACTTCTCCGGTCCTAGAGATGCTGCAGACACACAGGTGGAATTGGTTTGCGTCTGCAGATTCTTAAGGAATCTCGTAGCATCAGCTTGTTCTACAGGTGTCGTTTTGTTGTGTCGGAGCAACCCTGCCAGCGTGACAGAAATCGCTTGTTTGGTTAAAGAGCGTTGGGCGGCCGTCCCAACCTTCTGTAGAACTCCCTCGCAAATGACGAGAGTTCTGTTTTATAAGATGGCTATTATCATTTCTAACGAATCAGGTTTTGACATGTAGAAGGACAGTTTAACAAACCCTCAGAAACACGCCTCCCTGAAGATAGAAAGTTCTGGTGTTATGGGAAAAGATCATGTGAGTGCAGTTACCTTCAACTTAGCTACTGTGAGCTGTGTTCTGTGTATAAGGGCACATGATTGCTTCCTGTCATGTTAACATTACTGATTATCATAAATACTTATTAACCAAAGAATAATCATTCATTTCAGTAATTAAACACAGTTATAATGAACCTTGATGATTAGCAGTAAAGAGAGTTTATTTAAATGATTCTTTTAAATCTTGAAATGCCCTCTTCTTGCTGGATGGAATAGCAGTCAGATATGCAGACAGCTGCATAGATTAAAGGAGTGGTAGCAGACTTTAAGTCTCCTGTGAAGGCCTGTCGGAGATTGGATTAGTAGCCAGGGCAAGGTGACCCAGGCTTTGTATCTGACCTGTGAGTCTTAAAATCAGGCCATTTGTGACGTTACAAAAGTATTATTTCCATCTCAGGTAATTTTTGCACAGATTTTTTTACTAAAAGAATATTTGCTTTTCATACACACTAAGCTTCACCTGTATCCTCTTGAAGGTAACATTTGTCTTTCAATAAATTCACTGTATTTATTATGTGATGATCTCATGACGAAAGTCATGGGTCAGACACCTTTTCATATGTATAGAAGTATAATTTAAAGGAAAATACAAACAAACTGACCTCTGTAAAAAATATGTAAGTTTTCAATCACTTAACCTGTGATGTCAGTTTTTAACTGAAACAAATACTAACTTTAGCCTTCCTTGTGCTCTGGTATGATCAGAAATATCTACCTTGTGGATGACTATATCAGTTTATGTACTGAAGCATACAAAACATTCATAAAAACTAAAACTAGCAATAAGAAAAGTGGATATTTAATATACAGAGTTCTATAGCTGTGTATAAAACCAGCTATGTGGAGCATGAACAGTAGTGTTATTATGGTGTAGATCAGGGGTCCCCAATCCTGGTCCTGGAGGGCAGGTTTTGTGTTTTTTCTGCTCCAACAGACTAGATTCAGTGGTTGAAACACCTGTGCAGGAGATCACCAGGCTCTTCAGAAGCCTGTTAATTAGCTGCTGATTGAAATCAGGTTTGTTGAAACAGGGTTCAAACCAAAACATGCAGGTTACCGGCCCTCCAGGACCAGGATTGGGGACCCCTGGTGTAGATTGTAAATAAAACCTGTAATATGCCAGAAACCGCGGCAGCACAAACGATAATTCTAACTGCACAAACGTAGCAATAAAAATGAGACGAGTCTGGACCACTTTGGTGCAGTTTGGGGGGATGGTGAACTTTGAATGACCTGTAATATCTCAGAAACCAAAGCAGCAGAAATGATGATTTTACCTGCACAAATCTGCACAAACGAAGCACCGAGTGTGCAGCCTATTTGCTTGTAATTTTCAAGTGGGTGGGGGGTCAGCTTCATGGAGGTCTGGAACACATCCCACTGGATGCATCTCTGCGTCGGGAGCGCGTAACAAACAGGAAGTGCAGATCCAGTGGACCGAGCCTCGAAATCGACAAACTAGATGTGAAATATGTTTTAATTTGTGACAAAAGGAAAAATGAGTTTCGTTACTTTATCGTTAGGTGTGTGAATGACAACAGAATGTGCTAGGTTTATTATTATCATGTAATTGTTTCAACAAGTCAAAAAAATTCCTGATAAATAATTTTCACAACCTTTATTTCATTCAAGTATACACACATAAAAAAAGCAAATAAGCAATCAAGAATTAAAAAGGAACAGAAAGAAGAGAAAATATCGTGTTAATATCTGCCCCCTTAAAAACTTTTAAAATAATATCAATAGCTTCCAATATTTGAAAGTCTTTGAATAAAAATTTATTTGTTAACCGTCCCAACACTCTTTAGGCTATTAACTCAATAAGTACGTTAAATAAATACTGAATGTTCACAGCAGTCTACAAAAGTGAAACATTTCACCACATGCGGAACCATTCCTGTACTAACAGTGCTATCCGGTAGACTTTAGCTGCGCACACATGTCGTCTCCAGCTGTCCCAGCATATTTGTGTCCCAGTGCTGCACAGATAAGATGGATGAACTCCACACATTAACATTAAACCAAGGTAAGCTATAATATTAGAGGGAAGATTGTTTTTTTTACACGTCTTGTCACTTGTTCCACTCGTGACTGTGTTCATGTAGTGGTTTAGGACTCATAGCAAGCTAACAGACAATAAAAGCTAGCAGTTAGCAGTAGCTAACGTTAGCTAACTTCTGGACAAGTATATATAAATGGTGACGTAATCTTCCACATGTAAATAGCTGAGTAATCATAAATTCAGGTAACTTTGTCAGGACTGTTAATAATGAAGGTGGCAGAGGTAACATGTTAGCATTTAGCATCGGTTCATGTCAGAGCAGATTTTTTTAAACAAACTTTATTAGTGATATTGGGTATCTTACATAGCAACGAAGTAAAGCACAACAATACAAGCAAAGGGGCCAAAGTGATAAAACGGTGTTCAAAAGATAAGAATAAAGAGCACAATCAGATATTACAAGGAATAAAGAGGGGTAAATGTGTTGCCAGTTGTACAAGTCGTATTCTTCAAGTAGCTTCCAAGTTTTTATAGCTTTTAAATTTCCTGAGTTTTTAATAGAATCAGCGTTTTTTTTCACAGATGAAGACATTTAAAAAGGATTGACATGGGTATATTTACACTTATGAATATAATATTTAGCTAAAATAAAAATTAGGCTCAGTATGTACATTCTATTACTCTCTTTGTCTTCAAAAAATCCAAAAATAGCATGTTTCAAACAGAAGGAGACATCAGGAAGAACCTTTAGCTGCAGAAGATCTAAGACATCAGACCAGAATTTAGAAGTATTTGTACAGGTCCAGAATAGATGAGTAATCGTTTCAGGATGATTGTTACAGAAAAAATCAGCAGGTGTCAATGTCCTTTTTAAAGCTTTGGGAAATAAAATGTTTAACAGGGTAACGGTTATATAATATTTTAAAAGAAACTTCTTTAATTTTATTAGTTAAAATATATCTGTGGGGTAAAAGCCAAGTTTTATTCCATGGAATATTATTTACAGTAGAGTTCCAAAACAAAATAATATAGGGAGAGGAGATGGAAAGCTGTTGAAAAAGCCCTCAGATAGATTTATTGCATGATTTGTTTGGAGAAAAGCAAATTTTACCAATGTGTGTTTGAGAGAGGTCAGTATAAGTCACCAAACAATCCAAAAAAGAGGATCCTGTTAGCAGTATTTTGATACCAGAAGGCATTGCATTCATCACAATCGTGAACTCCCTAGGAGAAACCACTACAGGATACTTTTCTGTAAATTCAGAGAAAGTGTAACATTGACCATTAGGTTTTACTAATTGGTTAACAAGAATAACATTATTATCAAACCAGTTTTCAATAAACAGACTTTTTTGTGAGTGATATACTTATTGTTCCAAATAAAACAAGTATGTGGTGAGAAATTGTGCTTAAAAATGAGGGACCATACCAACAACATTTGCTATGTGAAAGTTTGAGCGCTTCATGGGGATTTTAGGAATATTATAATTACTAATCAGAATAGGGCTGGGGGTAAATGATTATTTTTAAAACGATTATTCTGACAATTATTTTATCGAATAGTCGACTATTCTAATGACTATTTAGATGATGAATCTAGCGATTATTTTTCTATTGCACAATTAATGAAAACCAAAAAAATCTCAAATAAATTCTTCCAAAAAAATGATAAATTGTTACTGTAAGATAATAAACACTACAGGCCTTCCATTTTGTATAACACTGCTTTTATTGTGTTGGTTGGTTATGTTCTGGTGACGTGTAGAACTTGGGAGTGCAGGCTGCTGCCTGAGAGCTGGTAGAAGACGGAGTGTCTCCATGCTGCTTTGTTTTGGTCACTTATGTGTGTGAGGCGAGTGGTGTTACGATCCTTCCTGGGGAATTTGGCTCGTGTGCAAAAAGGAAAGGACAATAACGAGATTTAAAAGTTAAAATGATCAAGTTTATTTACAAAAAAATAAAAAATAACATAAATCTTTCCATCCGCAGGTTGGGAATAATAAAACTAATTCTGCCTGTGGGGAATTAAAACAAAAGTACAAATAACTAGGGATGTCCCACTGGGCAAAAATTACTGTGTTCTGGACCAAAATAAGGATCTCCAAAGGTCCAAACTCTAAACTGGGTGGTTAAACCAAACTTAAGGTGATATTTTAAACTAAACCGAAAACCCACAACACTCTAAATGTAATAAAAGGGAGATCTGCACCACAAAAAAGATCAACTCTATACCAAAACGTAACAGCTTATCCAAACGCAAGAAGCTGTTAGCAAAAATGCTAACAGTAGCTTTACCAACGTTAAGTTCAAGTTACCAAGTTTAAATAAACCAAAAACACCCAGCAGCAAACAAACCAGCACGGAGGAGAGACTGCTACCACAAAAACAGCTCTCCTAATGTCTGAAAGAAGCTCCTTAATGAAGGGAGAAACGCTCCCGGTGATTTTCTACATCTGCGATAGAGACGAAGCAGCGCATCTGACCCCGGAAGTTGTTGTCCGTTGCCGGGAGACGAAGACGGCCAAAACAGGAAAGGAATCTCGTAGCGGACGGACGTTGTTCCTGGTCTTCGGTGTTTGGCGGAGATGTTAGTGAAGGCGGAGAAGTGGCCAAACTAGAGGAAAAACAGGCAGATTCCTCCTCTATTTACAAACTCCTGGGGATGCAACAAGTGGGCGCGGTGCGTCGACTACCGGATCTGACGTCGACGAATTTTTAGAATCGAGCCGTCGACGTCATCGATGCGTCGCCACAGCTCTAAATCAGAATAAATTTTAGACCACCTAGTTTAGAGAAAATGAAAGAGGGGATGATGTTCCATACAGAAGAAGGATTAAGTAAAAAAATTCTGATCCAGTTAATTTTCAGAGTATTATTGAGAGTTGAGAAGTCTATAAAATTTAAACCTCCACGATTTGCTGAAATGATTAAAACAGATTTTTTAATATAACAAACTTTCCTTTTCCATACAAAGTCCAATAGCATTCTATCAACATTCTTTAGAGTGTTATTATCCACATACAGAGACTGAGCGGTATATGAAAGCCTGGAGAGACCTTCAGCTTTAGAGAGAAGGATTCTGCCCATGCTTTCGTTCTTTTTTAAACACAGAAACAGTTTTGTTTACCTGTTTGTAGCTACGGTTTCGCCGACAGCTGGCGGCTTCTTCAGGCTGACGCTGATGGTGGCGCGTCACTTCCTTCTCCGTTTATCTGCGGGCAGCAGAGGACGTTGTCGCCCTCTACTGCCCGCTCTCCCCTCTCCGACGATGCAGTCCCATGCCCGGTCCAGCGTGTAAACTCCGTCGTCCCTGTTCATGGTCCCACATCCACGTCTCCTTATCTCTATTGCTTCCTTGATCCATCTTTTGTATTTTTGTTGTTCGGTGGTTATGATCCGTGTGCTGTCCCAGTCCATTATATGGTTTTCTCTTAAGCAGTGTTCTGTTACGGCTGACTTTTTTATTGTACTTTCTGCTTCTTCTTTTGCTGCTCTTGTGTGTTTACGATTTGCCTCTTTCGTAGCTACAAACAGGTAAACAAAACTGTTTCTGTGTTTAAAAAAGAACGAAAGCATGGATTTACAAAGACACAGCAAGAACACACCTAAGAAGGATTCTGCCTTTCAAGGACAAATCTCTTTGAAGCCAAGAGTTTAATTTTCTTTGAGTTTTCTGGATAGTGGAGGAAAAATTAGTTGGGCATCTTAAGGTGGGGTCTTTAGATGTAATAATCCAGAGATAAGTTACCTGATTTTTAACTTGAATATCACAAACAGCTGTGGATTCTTTAATGGATAATAACTCACACTTGTTTAAGTTAAGATGGAGACCTGAGGCTTTAGAGAAAGAACTAATTAAGTTTAGAGCAAGTGAGACTTGAGAAGCATCTTTCAAAAACAAGGTGGTATCATCAACCAGCTGACTAATAACAAGATGTTTACCAACAACTTCAATCCCCCTCAAGGGACTCTGTGAGATGTGAGTGGCAAGAAACTGAACGACAATCAGAAATAAATAAGGGGAAATAGGGCGTCCCTGTCTGATACCTCTGGATAATATAAATATTTGGGAGGTGCCATATTTGAGTTTGATGGAGCTGTTATTGTTATTATACAGAGTTTTAATTGTACTACAGAAGTATGGGCCAAACCCACATTTTTCTAGAACTTTGTAGATAAAATTATGGTCCACCGAGTCAAAGGCCTTTAGAAAGTGGAGAAACATAATGAAGCTATCTGTGTCGATGAGGTCGCTGTAGTCGAGAAGGTCCAGGACTAATCTAATCTTGCTTACAATCAGGGTTCAAAATTAACCTTTTTGATCATCAGCAAAGGTGGCTAGTAACTTCCTGAAGTTACTAGCCACCTTGGATTTCCACTAGCCATTTCTTTCTGCAGTCAAAAAAGAGATGACGAATGCCACTGAATGAAGATTTTGTCATTTTATTAACACTGCTGTTGTGAAAAACGCACACATAGTGCAATACACACAAGAACATATAGAAAGTGCAACATTGATTTATTTTTTTCCCACTGTATCTCTTCCCTCTGAATCAAACATCCTCATCCTCAGAGCTCTCTGAACTTGTTTCTTTTTCTGAATCTGAGTAAGCATCCGTTTCTTTTGTTGCATTTTTGCGCACAAACTCAAGCCTGCGTCTGCGCAAACTGTCAGCATGCCAGATGTCAATGGCTTTGGTTGGATCAAAGTCTTTAATGTCAGGTGAGCACAACTGGGTTTTCAGGAGGTCAGTGAGGGTCTCACCTTTCAGGCGTGAACGCCAGTCACTCTTTACCTGCTTCATGACACTGAACCCTCTTTCACAGTCAGCTGTGCTTGCAGGGATGGTGAGGAGAGCATCAGAGGCAAAGGACGTCAGGACACCGATGGCGCAGCATTCTGTTCACAGTAGGGCTGCTCGATTATGGCAAAGATGAAAATCACGATTATTTTCAATGAAATTGAGATTGCGATTATTTCACGATATTTATTTAACAATGGCAATGTATTGAATAATTGCTTTAGATTGTCCAAAAATATAAAATGGTGTGCAAATACTGACCACTGTGCAAATGTTTGCTTTGCAATATAAGAAATAAATAAAAAAAATGTAAACATTAATGTTCAACTTCAAACTACTGCATAATATTTATGCATACAAATAACCAAACATCAAGGCAAGCTGTGTAGCCACACAATGCACAATTGCATCAAACTGACGTTGAGGTATGTCAACTAAAGTTGCTGCCCGAACAAAAATAAAATTAAACACTGAAAGTAGTACCTTTTATAAGAAATAAATAAAAACTAGTAGGCCAGAGTCCCATACAATCTTAAAATGGTTCAACAAAACATGGTTCCTGCAACCTTTCAAAGGTCTTTAGCCAAAAACACCAGCCTATTAACATGGTCAGGCTTTAGGGATGCACGCAGGCAGTTGACAACATTTCCACCAGTTCTGAAGACCCTTTCTGATGAGGCACTTGTGGCTGGCATGCAAAGATATTTCTTTGCCAGGATGGAGAGTCGTGGGAAGAGGTTCTGTGATAGCTTCCACCACCCCAGTGGGTCTTCCTCTGTGTCCAGGGTCCCTGCCTGGAGGTACCCCTGAAGCTCACAAGCTATGGCCTGGTCCAGTTGAAGAGTATGTTCTGCACCTGGAGCTGCTGGGCTGTGAGGGGCCTTAAAGAAGCTGCTTAGGCCCCTTTTCCTCTTCGTTTGGTTTGATGCACCATCATCAGCAACCTCTATGTTACCAACGGGTGTCCCCATCACTGCAGCCTCCTTTAATGGGACAAACATAAAACGACAGCAACACAGAATGAGGACCCAGTTTTATCTGTCTCGGGTTTGGCATTCTAAAGTACAATCTTTAGATAATTACTATAAATAATGATAGTAGTGATGGGTCCAGCAACAACGATGCCTCGACGCCTGTATCAAGCTCAGCGAAACCCTGTATCGGTGCGAGTATCACTTTAAGAAATAGTCACGGGACCGATACAGCTGCTGCTGTCGCCTGTTACTGAAGCGGCAAACTGTGTTGAAATGGAGGAGCGTCTGCATCTGACAACGGGATGAGTTTGTGGAAAAAGCTCATCTTCAGAACCAAAATTATTCCCTGAAAGCCTCCATCATGGAAGCAGAGGGAAAATAAACAGCTGTCTGCAGTGTGGGACTGCTTGGATCTTTGGTTCCTTGTTTCATCCTGTTCCTCTCCGATTCTGCTTTAAAATGTAAATAATAATAATAATAAGTTCTTCACAAAAACGAAATAAGTCCAAATAAGTCAGTCCATGGGCAACATCACACTTCTAATTTCATTTTTTCACAAGTTGTGACTGACATTCAGATTATTTATAATGATACAGTACTTTAAGTATAACATTTTAAACTCAGATTAAGATATTAAATAATGCAGTTTACAGTATGGAATACAATTAGGCTTCATAAATATACTTATACAAAGATATTTAATCAGGAGACTACTTGAATCTCCTAATTATGTTGCCTATAATGATACATAAGATCCAGCAGGTGTCAGTAGACTCCTGTTGATGTAGTAGATGTTATTCAGTCCTTGGAAGCGACAGCGTTTTGACACAGTATCAATACAGTTTGGTAAATATGCCGATACAGCTCATGAGGCCTCATCAACCCATACATACAGAAGACACCCGTAACCTGTCATTTTACTAGTGGCAGGCTAACAGCTTCAGCTAATAGGAATAACTATGCCTTCTTCCCATCCCTATGAAATCATTTCCCTTTCCCACTTCCGTTTTCTGTTTTGTGCCCCAGAGAGCTTTTTTTTCCCGGTCTTTCCATCTCGCTAACGTAGCTAGCTGATCAGATGACAGTAGATAGTCAAATGAAAACACTCGCGCCCCAGTGCGTATTCGCGAGCGCAAGCGCTGGACTCGTCAAGAGTGTTCACTCTCTCTCTCTCTCTCTCTCTCTCTCTCTCTCTCTCTCTCTCTCTCTCTCTCTCTCTGTCTCTCTCTCTCTCTGTCTCTCTGTCTCTCTCTCTCTGTCTCTGTCTCTCTCTCTGTCTCTCTCTCTCTCTCTCTCTCTCTCTCTCTCTCTCTCTCTCTCTCTGTCTCTCTCTCTCTCTCTCTCTCTGTCTCTCTCTGTCTGTCTCTGTCTCTCTCTCTCTCTGTGTGTGTGTCAGTCAAGCCCCCACAATGCGGGACATAAATTGAGGCCAATGGGGAAGTGAAATAAATTGCAGTTCCACCCTCATCCGCTGGGGGCTGGTGTCAGAAGTGAGCAAATCCTCATTGACTCCCATGTTAAAAATACCAATTTCACAGCAGAAATAAACATGTTTACAGCCTGGTACCAAAACATGTTTTTGGTTTAAATGATCTAGTTAACACTCATGACAACTCTGAGGGGGGTGATTTTTTCTCACTCTTCTAAGTGTATTAAAAGCCTAAAATTTTGTATAATTAATGAGCATCAGACCCACGTGACCACAGAGCTAGCTCCAGGGAGAGGCCTCAGTAGAGCCTCGGTCTCGCCTGAAAGCGGTTCCGTCAGTTTCAGTCTCTCAACTTAGACCATTAGTTGTAGCGTTTGTGCGTTCTTTTTGGATATTATTTGTGCAATTGTTGGACAAAATGACTTGCTGTGGTATTAATTGCTCTAATAGAGCGTCCAAGGAGTCTCCACTTCATTGTTTTCTGTAAGTAAAATTATATTTGTTACGGCCGCCGCCATTTTGGAGCCCCAGTGTGTGTGCAGCACTCCTTGTTTTCCTGTTCAGCAGTGCAGCACCTTGGACAGCTGCCCTTGGGAAACAACTTTCATCCAGGACCATGGACAGCACCAGGGCAACAGTCACTGCCAGCTGGGCCGTTTTACCTCATCAGCTGGCTCTTCAAAAGCAGCCAGCTGGAGCTCATCAGGGGAGAGAAATTGTTTGTGGGTTGCAGCAGCAACTGGTGTTCTCTTCCCCAGTGGTTCTTGGCTCCGTCTAAACCTTTTGCAGTTTTGTGCTTACTTCTAGAGAGAGAGTAGGTAGGATTTGGTGTTTGGACAATTTGAGTTAGTAGGTAATTTTAGTTTG